ATTGGATAGATAGATAGATAGATGGATGGATGATAGATAGATAGATGAAAATATAGACAGGTATAAATAGATGGATGGATCTCGATGGATGGATATTATGGGTGAAATACCTCATAAAGGGATTAGATAGATATGATAGATGGATAGATAAATAGATAGATAGATACAATGAAATGGGCAGGTATAAAGGGAATGAGATAGATGGATGGATGGATAGATAGATGTTGAAATGGGCGGGTATAAATAAATTATTATAGATGGATGGATAGATAGATAATGGATAGATAGATAGATAAACATAGGCAGGTATAAAGGGAATGAGATAGATGGATAGATAGATGGATAGATAGATAATGATGAGGTATATGGAATGAGATAGATGGATAGATAATGAAATAGAGGTATAAAGGGGGTTAGATGTTTAGATAGATAGATAGATATTTATGTAATGGGCAGGTTTAGGGATATGAAATAGATAGATAGATAGATAGATAGATAGATAGATAGATGAATGTGTAGCATAATTCAGGGAATATTCTAGATAGATAGATAGATAGATCTGTATGAGATATATAATAGATAGATAGAAAGATGGGATAGATGGATAGATAAATAGATAGGGAGATAGATAGATAGATAATGAAATGGACGTTAATAAAGGAAATGAGATAGATAGATAAATAGATAGATAGATAGATAGATAGATAATGTAATAGGCGGGTATAAAGGGAAATGATAGATAGATAGATAGATAGATAGATAAATGAAATATTCATAAAAAAATGGGATAGATGGATGGATAGATAGATAGATAGATATTTAATGAAATAGGCATGAAAAAGGCAATGAGATAGATAGATGGATTTCAGATTAATATATAATAGATAGATAGATAGATAGATAGATAGTTTCCGTTCATATACAGATAGATAGATAATATATGAAATAATCAGGTGTAAAGGGGAGGAGATGATGGATAGATAGATAGATAATATAATGAAATAGGCAGGTATAAAGGAAATTAGATGGATAGATAGATAGATAGATAGATAGATAGATAATGAAATAGGCAGGTATAAAGGAATGATGGATATGATATATAGATAGATAGATAATGAAATAGGCAGGTATAAAGGGAATGGGATAGATAGATAGATAGATAGATAGTGAAATATTTTAATAATGAAATCTCTCTCTAGATAGATGGATAGATAGATAGATAGATAGATGGATAGATAGAATATAATGAAATAGGCAGGTTATAGGGATATATATTCTAGATATATGAGATGGATAGATAGATAGGAAATAGAAAGGTATAAATGGAATGATAGATAGATAGATAAATGGATGGATGGATGATGATATAATGAATAGAAAGATAAATGGAATGGATGGATAGATGGATGGATGGATAGATAGATAGATGGATAATAAATTGCGAAAATCGTAATGGAAACAGATATATATATGGATGGATGGATGGATAAATAGATATTTAGATAGATAGGATAGATGGATGGAGGTATAAAAGGGAATGGGGATAATGGATGGATGGATATGATAATGGGGGAATGGGATAGGATAGATGGATGGATATATGGATGGATATGAAATGGCTGTATGATAGATAATGGATAGATAATGAGATAGATAGATAGATGGATGAATGGATGATAGGCAGGTATAAATAGATGGGATAGATAGATAGATGAAATAGACTGAGATAGATAGATAGATAGATAGATAGATAAATGAAATAGATAGATAGATATGAATAGATAATGGATAGATAGATAGATAGGATAGATGGATAGATAGCTAGATAAAGGGAATGAGATAGATAGATGAATGGATGATAGATATATATATGAATGAAATGAGAATGGACAGGTATAAATAGATAGATAGATAGATAGATAGATAGATAATGAAATAGATGGATAAATGGAATGGATGGATGATAGATAGATAGATGGATGGATGGAATGGATGGATAGATGATGTAGATGCAATATATGGGATAGATAGATAGATGGATGAATAATAAAAACAGGATGTAATAGATGGATAGATGGATGGATAGATGAATAGATAGATAATATAGAAATAGATGAATAAATAGATGAGATAGATAGATAGATGGATGGATATGATAATATGAATAGATAAAGGATGAGATAGATGGATAGATAGATAGATGGATATGAATGAAATGAATGGATAGATAAATGAATGAATGGATGGATAGATAGATAGATAGATAGATAGATGGATGGATAGATAAGCACGATGTAAATGATAGATGGATGGATAGATGGATGGATGGATGGATGAAATGGACTACATATAGATATAATGGGATAGATGGATAGATAGATAGATAGATAGATGGATAATAGATGGATGAAATAGATAGGTAATGGGAATGAGATAGATAGGATGGATGGATGGATGGATGATGGATGGATAAATGGATGGGATAGATGGATAGATAGATAGATATGGGATAGATAGATAGATAATGGGAATTGGATGGATAAAGGGGATGGGATATATGGATGGATAGATGGATGTGGATGGATGGAGGATGGGAGATGGATGGATGGATGGATAGATAGATGGATAGATGGAAATGGATGGATGGATGGATGGATGGATGGATGGATGGATGGATGGATGGATAGATGGATAGATGGTAGATGATGGATGGAGGATGGATGGGATGGATGGATGGATGATGGATGGATGATGGAATGGGCAAAATGGGAATGGGATGGATGGATGGATAATGGATAATGGAATGAGATAGATAGAATGAGATAGATAGATAGGATATGGATGGATAATGGAAAACAGGGATAGAGATAATGGATAGATGGATGGATGGATGGATGGATAGATGTGAATGAAATGGATAGGATAGATGAATAGATAGATAGATAGATAGAATGAAATAGGCATGTATAAAGGAAATGATAGATAGATAGATGGATAGATATAGAAAATGACTAGATATATATAATGAATGATAGATAGATGTAGATAATGAAATAGGCAGATATAATATGGAATGAGGTAGATATGATAGATAGATAGATAGATAGATATGATATATATATAAATAAACAGGATAGATAGATGGATAGATATATGGATAGATAGATAGATAGATGGATAGATAGATGAATAGGTAATATAATGGCGAATGGATGGATGAGATATATTGTTGAGATAGATAGATAATAGATAAATAGATAGATGAATATAATAAAATGGGAATGATGGATAGATGAATGAAATAAGAAGGGATAGGATAGATATTCTTAAGATGATAGATGGATAATGATAATAAATAGGGCAGATAAAGGAATGGATGGATAGATGATAGATAGATAGATAGATACATAGATATTTAGATAATGAAATCCACTATGTAAATAATAGAATGAGATAGATGGATAGATATAATGGATAGATGGATAGATAATGAAACGTTCTTTAAATAAAGGAAAAAGCGATAGATAGATGGATAAATGAAATGGGCAGGTATAGATTGTTCTGAGATGGATAGATATATAGATAGATATAGATAGATATGATAATAGGCAATAGGTGGATGGGATGATAGATGGGGGATAGATGATGAAATGGGCGGGTTGTAGGGGGATGAGATAGAAAGATAGATGGATAGATTCATAGATAATGAAATGGGCAGGTATAAAAATGGGATGGATAGATATCTAGATAAATGATAGAATAAAGGGATGATAGATAGATAGATAGATGGATAATGAAATAGGCAGGGCAGGGATGGATGGATAGATGGATAGATGGATGGATAGATGGATTATGGATGGATGGATAGTTAATCCATATAATGAAATGGGCATAATTTTTTTTAGATAGATGGATGGATAGATGGAGATAGATGGATGTTCTAGATGGATGGATAATGAAATAGGCAGGTATAAAGGGGAATGAGATAGATAGATGGATGGATGGATGGATGGATAGATGGATGGACAATGAAATAGGCATTTATAGGGGGATGGGATGGATGGATGGATGGATGGATAGATGGATGGATAGATGGATGGATAATGAAATAGGCAGGTTATAAAGGATTTTGATAAATAGATTGGATAGATTTGATGGACAGATGGATGATGAAATAGGCAGGTCCAAAAGGAATGGGATGGATAGATGGATGGATGATAGATAGATAGATAGGATGGATAAAAGGAATGGGATAGAAACATGATAGATAGATAGATGGACAATGAAATATGCAGATGGACAGATAGATAGAAACTAATAATGAAATAGGCAGGTATAAATAGATGGGATAGGATAGATAGATAGATAGAACTAGATAGATAGATAGATAGATGACCAAGAAAAAGGGTATAAATGGGATGGATATATAGATAGATAGATAGATAGATAGATAGATAGAAGGGCTAACGATAGAAATGAGATGGATAGATACATATAGATGCATAGACAGATGAAATAGACAGACATAAACCAAATGAGATAGATAGATAGGATATGGATAGATAGATAGATAGATAGATAGAAATAGGGGATAGATAACATGGAATGAGGATATATAAATGGATGGATAATGAAAATACGCAGGTATATAGGATAGAGATAGATAGATAGATAGATAGATAGATAGATAGATATGAAATGAGCAAGATAAAGGGAATTAGATAGATGGATAGATAGATAGATAGATGGATAGATGAAATGTAGATGGGAGATAGATAGATAGATAGATAGATGAGGCAGGGCGGGGTATATAAATGGAATGGAAAAGGATGATAGATAGATAAATGAAATAGATAGATAGATGGAATGATAGATAATAGATAGATGGATAGATAATGATAGATGGATGGATAGAGAGATAAAATCGATAGATCTATACATGAGATAGAAAAATAGATAGATAGATAGATAGATAGATAGATAGATAATGAAATGGGCATAAAGGGATTTTAGATAGATGGATTCTTGAAATTAGGCAGGTATAGATAGATAGATAGATAGATGGATGGATAGATAGATAGATAATGAAATAGATAGGGGATTTCATCCTCTATAGATAATGGATAAATGGGCAGATATAAATGGAATGAATGGATAGATAGATAGATGTTCAGATGGAATGAAATAGGCTTGATATGGATGAAATGTTCAGTGATTGATGGATGGATGGATGGAAATGGCAGGTATGGTTATGGGGGGTTGGGATATTCTAAGATAGATAGATAGATAGATAGATATATAAATAGATAATATATAATGAAATGTGCAGGTATAAAGGGAATGAGATGGATAGATATAGATAGATGGATGGATGGATAGATATGAAATAGGCAGGTATAAAGGGAATGAGATATATAGATAGATAGATAATGAAATACGCAGGTATAAAGGGATATAGATAGATAGATAGATAGATAGATAGATGGATAGATGATGAATGATAGGCGAGTATAAAGGGAATGAGATAGATAGATAGATAGATAGATAGATAGATGGATATATGAAATAGGCAGGTATAAGGGAATGGATAGATAAATAGATGGATAATAGATAGATAGATAGATATTAAATAGAGGAATGAGATAGATAGATAGATAGATAAATGAAATAGGCAGGTATGGGGGCAGAATGAGATAGATAGATAGATAGATAGATAGATAGATAGATGGATAGATAGATAGATAGATAAAAATAGGCAGGATAAAGGGAATGAGATAGATAGAGATAGATGATGAAATAGGCAGGTATAAAGGGGATGGGGATAGATAGATAGATAGATAGATAAATGGGGCGGGTATAGGGGATAGGATAGATGGATAGATAATATGAAATGGGCAGGTATAAAGGAATGGGATAGATAGATGGATGGATAGATGGATAGATAGATAGATAGATAGATAATGAAATAGATATAAAGATGAGATATGGATGGAGATAGATAGATAGATAGATAGATAGATGGATGGATAGATAATGAAATGGGCGAGGTAGATGGATAAATAGATAGATGGATGGATAGATGGATAGATGGATGATGAAATAGGCGGGTAAAGGGGATGGGATAGGATGGATATATAGATGGATGGATGGATGGATAAGATAGATATAAAGGGGATAGATGGATAGATGGATGGATGGATGGAGATAGATAGATAAAATAAATGAAATAGATAGGGTAAAAAAGGAACGAGATATATAGATAGATAGATGGATGGATAGATGGATAGATAATGAAATAGGCAGGTATAAAGGGGATGGGATGGATGGATGGATGGATGGATAGATAGATAGATGGATGGATAGATGGATGGATGAAATGGGCTGGGTAGGGGATAGTAGATGGATAGGTTTGGAAATAGGTACGTGAGGAAATGAGATAGATAGATAGATAGATGATAGATAGATAGATGGTAATGAAAGATAGGGGAAAGGGAATGGGATAGATAGATGATAAATGAAATAGGCAGGTATAAAGGGAAATGAGGGATGGATGGATAGATAGATATGATAGATAGATAGATAGATAGATAGATAGATAGATAGATAGATGGATGAAATAGGCAGGGGTATATAATGGATGGATAGATAGATGGATAGATAAATGAAATAGGCAGGTATAAAGGGGATAGATAGATAGATAGATAGATGGATAATGAAATAAGCAGGTATAAAGGGGATGAGATAGATAGATAGATAGATAGATAGATAGATAATGAAATAGATAATGGTATAAAAGGGAATGGATAGATGGATGGATAATAAATGGGCAGGATAAAGGGATGGGATGGATAGATGGATGGATAATAATATGGGCCGGTAGGATGGGATAGATAGATGGATAGATAGATAGATAATGAAATAGGATAAGAGGGAATTAGATAGATAGATAGATAGATAGATAATGAAATAGGTATAAAGGATAGATAGATAGATAGATAGATAATGAAATAGGCGGTATAAAGGATATGAATATAGATAGATAGATAGATAATGAAATAGATAGATAGATAATGAGATATAATAGAAATAGGCAGGTATAAACGGAAATGAGGGAAATAGATAGATAGATAGATAGATAATGAAATAGGCAGGTATAGATATAGATAGATAGATAATAGATTGAAATGATGATAGATAATGAAATAGGCAGGTATAAAATGAGATAGATAGATAGATAGATAGATAGATAAAATGAAATAGGCAGGTAAAAATGGGATAGATAGATAGATAGATAGATAGATAGATAGATAATGAAATAGGCAGATAGATAGATAGATAGATAGATAGATAATGAAATAGGCAGGTAGGCAGGTATAAAGGGAATGAGGATGGATAGATAGATAGATAGATAGATAGATAGGCAGGTATAAAGGGAATGATGGATAGATGGAATGGAAATGGAATGAGATAGATAGATAGATGGAAGGATGGATAGATAGATAGATAGATAATGAAATAGATAAAGGGAATGAGATGGATAGATAGATAGATAGATAGATGGATGATGAAATAGGCAGGTATAAAGGGGAATGGATAGATAGATAGATAGATAGATAGATAATGAAATATAGATAGATGGATGGATAGATGGATAATAATGGGTGGAGGTATAAAGGGGAAATGGATGGATGGAGATAGATAGATAGATAGATGGATGGATAGATGGATGGTGGCAGGTAGGGGAAATGGGATGGATGGATGGAAAATAGATAGATGGATAAAAATGGAATGAAACAGGCGGGTGTGGGGGATGGGGGATGGATAGATAGGATGGATAGATAGATAGATATAATGAAAATGCGGGGTATAAAGGTGGAATGGGATAGAAATGGATAGATGGATAGATGGATAGATAATGGGAAGGTATGAAGGGGGTTGGATAGATAGATAGATAGATAGATAGATAGATAGATAATGAAATAGGCAGGTATAAAGGGAATGAGATAGATAGATGATAGTAGATAGATAGATAGATAATGAAATAGGCAGGTATAAAAATGAATGAGATAGATAGATAGATAGATAGATAGATAGATAGATAGATTGAAATGAAAAGGCAGGTATAAAGGGAATGAGATAGATAGATACATAGATAGATACATAGATAGATAGATAATGAAATAGGCAGGTATAACGGGAATGAGTTAGATAGATAATGAAATAGGCAGGTAAAAATGAATGAGATAATAGATAGATAGATAGATAGATAGATAGATAGATAATGAAATATGCAGGTATAAAGGGCATTAGATAGATAGATAGATAGATAGATAGGTAATGAAATAGGCAGGTATAAAGGGAATGAGATAGATAGATAGATAATGAAATAGGCAGGTATAAAGGGCATTAGATAGATAGATAAATAGATAGATAGGTAATGAAATAGGCAGGTATAAAGGGAATGAGATAGATAGATAGATAGATAGATACATAGATAGATAGATAATGAAATAGGCAGGTATAAAGGGAATGAGATAGATAGATAGATAGATATATATATAGATAGATAGATAGATAGATAGATAGATAGATAGATAACTGAAATTAGTTTCGTATATCTCACAGCCAAATGATGAAATATGGGTTCGCAAGGCGCTATTTTTTTCTATATGAAACGCACGTTGTAGCCGCCAAATATTATTCCATAGTCATTATTGATTTCATAGACATTTTCGGTTTATTTGAGATATTTTTTTGTCATATCATAAGTTGATAAGACAAATCAATATTTTTAGAAAACCGCCAAATTGCTGCTGTTTCATTATGAACAAGCAAATCTGTTCAAGGACTCTTGAATGCGATTTCGCATTTGAACTATTTTTATCGGCTCAATTTACTGAACAAAAGATTATAGTAAGTAGTCTATTTTAAACCCCAAGTCGCCCATCAACTGTTTAATGTCATCCATGAAAATTTTTTCTTCTTGAACTAATTTCCTCTTAAAGATATGACGCTTCGACTTTTTTTTTTCTTTTCACGAAACCATTGAAAGAACAAAACCTAGCTTTTGCTTTCTGCTATATTTTGACAAGGATGGGTAAGTGACAGACAGACACAGATGTTGGTTTAACAGGTAAACAATGTGTCTTTTTTCTTTTCTTTTTTGTGGGGTGGGTGATGAGTGTTTTCTGATAATAAAATATCAAGCCCGTGTCGATAAGCACCTCTCGAACTTTGTCAGTTTTAAACTTCTTAGTTAAAAAAATATGCGATCGGCTTCGAGAAATGTTTCCGATTGACAGCTTTGCGGTGGAACACTGGACGGGAGGTCAAAGTCGTAAAGGCTTCGGTTTTAAAACGAGAGAGATTTATACACAAGAATGAACCTAGGTTAAATTTTATTTTTTTAAAATTTTATTTTAAATTATTTTTAATCTAAGTATACCTTTAACTGTGACTTGTAAGTTGTTTATCGACTCTTGAATCAACAAGACGATTGTCTTGTTTTTTTTTTGTTTTTTTTTCTTTTTTTATTCACAAAAAAAAAAAAAAAAAGAAAAAAAAATTGAAATAGAAGTTCAATTCTCCTGGGGATTAAATTAATAAAACAAAGCGTGTTTGTTCATTTAAGAGAAAAATAGAATATAAAATTGAAAAACAACCAAAAATATTTCATTTCTTTTTTTTTACAATATTGTTCATCCTATACAAGGCGTAAGAGACATTCGATGTAGAGGGTTACAGAGTAAGAGGCACAGTTTATGGGGATACGTGGGGAAGATACCGGTTAACCCGAGTCTTGAAGTGATAGGAGAAGCAACCTCTTGAGAGTCGCTTCCACAAAGCAGCAGTTCATGGGAAGAATCTGCTCGAGTGGAACTTAGGTCTCAACAAATGGAATACAAAGGGAATGAGGCTGATTCGCTACAATGCCGTGAAGGTTAGAACTGATGGGACAAAGGAATATAGATCGTCTGATCATATTCCATGGAATTAGCGA